CGGTCAATCCCACTATTCGTTGGAAAATAAGTAGCCCAAGAGTTGGCGGTGGGTGGTGATGACTAGCTGCCTTCCCTCTAGTCTTACTCTCCTAAATTAGGGACGGCTAGCGCAGATAGCCCTCGTGTAGCTTTGCGCGAAATTCAAAACAAACAAACTAGGCGGCGCCCGGACCTCCAGAATGGCAGAGTAAGAGCTATTCTGTAATTAAAGGACTTTCTGTAGAAAAACAAAAAGTATAATTCTACATCAAGTGACATTAGCACGCAAATAAAACTCCAAATTCTGACATCATTTCTTCAATTCGGCGAGATCTCAACATACTTAGTTCAAAGTTATTTTATTTCACTTCAAACTATTTGGTGCCTTGAAAGTATAATCACAGAAGTATCTGAACCTTTAGTACTCTGGCTTAATAAGTAAGGGGTTAAAGGTTATCCTACATAAATACCACTATTTACAATTGATCATTTGGTTCAAAAACTGTCAATCCAAGTTTCAAGTTCCAAAAGGTTCTTTAACAGCCTAAGTAAGCCTATTTAATATTTTGCTATTCTGTTGATATTATGTTACAAAAAAAAATTAAATCGATATCGTTAAAAGAGGGCGTTGTTGATAGTTTTTAGATCATAGTTTTTTTATTGCATCATAGTGAGTAATTATATATTTTTTGCCTGTTACAACACGCTGTGCAAAGAAGTGACCAAAATAAATTGGGTGAAATCACCTATTGTTTTCTCTGTGATACACATAGGGGTGTCTACCAGTAATTAGTGTGATTAATTGCAGTATTATTTGTATATTTTAGTCTAAATTTCCTTTGAGTGACTTCTGTGTCATTTGGGGCCCTGAACCACCAATATCATGAGTTCACAAGCAATTTGGTGCATACACGGATTAACCGTTAATCTCATATTGCAACGGGAAAATGTAATTTATTCAAGCGGATTTAAAATTATTCGTACTTAACATTTTAGTATTAAAAAAAAACCGTTTATTGAAAGATAGTTCATGTATACAGTTACTTGAATTTATTACTGAATTAGGGTTAACTAATAATTAATAGGTTCTTAGAATTATATATATCTAGTAATGTGAATATAGCCCTTCATCTTACATGGAGTCACTTTAACGGTGTATTATAGAATTAGGGTTAGCTTAAATTCTAGTGTGAATTTAACCAGTCATCCCTCACAAGTCGAACAATATATTACTGAATTAGGGTTAACTTATAAGTAACAGGCGATTAGAATAATATATTGCTAGTAATGTGAATATAGCCCTTCATCTTACATGGAGTCACTTTAACGGTGTATTATCAAATTAGGGTTAGCTTGAAATACTAGTGTGAATATAAAACATTGTCCAATACGGTATCATTTGAAGACTATATTCTGCAGTTAGGGTTAACTATAACACTAGTTTGAAGAGCTCGTTATACCACATTTTAAGGCTTTACTCTACAACTCAGGTTAAAGTATAAGTAAGTGTATAAAATTAGGTTAATTATAATTACAATACGATAAGAGTTAACTTTAACACTAATGTGAGTATCC